TCCTCACGGTTTTCCCATTCCCACAGAAACCACTACCACAACTGTAGGTCTGTTACAGCATACCCTGCTTCCTGGGTCCTGGATGTGGTCAAGTCATTCTGGGATACAGTTAGGTCGATAATTGACTGCCTAAATGTATCCCAAAGCGTAGGAGTTCACAGCAAGCATTGAGCCTGCTCTGGATTTTTCAGGGCAGGGATTTGTAAAGGTGCAGCAAGCCAATGGTGGGTCTCTGTCCCAAGGTGTCCAAGAGCTCCCCTGGAAGGCTCAAGGGACTGACTCGTCTGAGGGCTCATATGCTCATATTATGGGCAATTGATCCTGTCTGGCCCTTGGGCCTCAGTTCCTCTTGCATGGACGTCTCTTCCTGGGCTGGCCTGGCTCTTGTCAGAGCATTGTAGCCGGTTCTCGGGGTGAGTGTCCTGAGAGAAAGAAAGTGAGGTCAGATGTCATAGAATGGAAATGAACTCCACTTCATGGGAAGAACATATGGGATCAAGGGAGGAAAAAAATACTCTGGTTATATTTTCATAAAAGATCACTCTACAAGAGAATGAAACTGGATCGGTACTTACATTTATCTTTTGATAGGACCTCTACACTTCTTAGGAAAATAAATGGAAAAGAATAATTCAGATACCTTAACTGAAAGACAGGAAAAGAAACAGAAATAACAGGAAATGAAAAGTATTGAGTGAGATGATTCTTTTTTTTTTTTTTTTATTTAAGAAAAGGAGAATAAGTAACATTGAAATGGATTCGGAGCCTCTAGTGACAAGTGAGTTCATTTCAAACAACTAAAAGGTGAGATGACATAAATACATCCTAATATAATCATTATAGTCCACATAAAGGCAGCAGATGCTTATTGCTCATGTTGGAATATCAGGAATATAAAGCCCCCAAATGCTCTGCACACAGACGTTTTGGGAATCAAAGCCACTTAAGCAGGTTGGAAATAAAATGATGGACTATGATAAGTCAGGCCAAGGTGAACCAAAATAAAGTTAGAAAAGCATGCAGGTAAAATACATTTGAAGATGAAAAGGTATCGTAGAGGATGCAAGGGAAAAAATGAGTAACCGAACAAGAGAATATACTAATCAAAGAAACATGTACTCTTAACGCAGACTCTCAAAAACTAGCAAGCAACCACCTGGAGCTGCGGCTGGCCGCCAGTGACCTTTTGAGAATGAAGCAGGAAAGAGAACAGAGAAAGACAGAGAGGGGGAGAAAGGGCTCTGACAACCCCCTGGTGCTGCTGGATACAGCCATGCCTGAAGCCCCTTCCACCTGTTGGAGCTCCCATTCAAGTCCAGTTTGGGTTCTGGTTTTGTTTACACACACACACACACACACACACACACACACACACACACACACGCAGTTTGTCACTTGCCACCCAAAGAGAGCTAAAGAATGCAGCCATGAGGAAGCCAAGCGAATGGTCCTGGGTGTCAGAGATCTGAATCAAGGGAACAAAGAACTCCCCCACCTTTGTGGTCCCATGTTCTCTCTGAAGAAGATCGGGCATCATTCTGCCCACTGCCTGAGGTCAGTGGGAGACCCATAGGCCAATCCAGGGTAGGATTCGCTGAAGGCGCCCCTGTCTGTCTCTCCTACAGACCAAGGCCCCTGAAGGCAGCATTTTGCCGGGCTCATCCTAGCCTGAGATATGCATCTGGTTCATAGCAGGGGTCAACCTAGTAATAAAGAAACACAGGGCTTCCTACTCCCGCACAGCATTACAGCCTCAGAAACCCACAGAGGCAGTTCTACCCTGTCCTCTAGGGTCGCCATGAGCCCGCATCAACTATCGATGACAGTGAGTTAGTTGGTTGGTTGGTTGGTTGGTTGGTTGGTTGGTTGGTTGGTTGGTTGGTTGGTTGGTTGGTTGGGGAACCGTGGTGGCATAGTGGTTAAGCATCGAGCCACTAACCACAAGGTCAGCTGTTCAAACCACCCGCCGCTCCATGGGAGAAAGATGAGGCTTTGTACTCGAGTGAAAGTGTCAGAAGCCCACAGGCGCAGTTCCACCTTGTCCTTTGGGCAGTGAGTTTGGCTGGGGGTTTTCTGGTGGCAAGTAAGCCTGGGGCTGCTAACGGAGAGTCAAAGCCATCAGCCATCCTCGGGAGAATGACGTGGCAATCGGCCTCCATAAAGACGGCAGCTTTGGAAGCCCTGCTCTATCCTGCGGAGTCACCGAGTCCAATGGACTTGATGGCAGTGGCTTTGGTTTAGTGGCTTCTGTGCCAGCTGCCACAGGGCAGTTACAAACCCCGACGCAAGCCAAGCCACATTTTGATATGAAATACATGAAACTTCAGGGAGCCGTGTGCATGACGAGGCTGGTGGACAGCATCGCCGTGTTGACTCAGAAAAGGCTCCCGTTGGCTCATGGTGGGGGGAGGGGGCCAGCAGATGGACCACCCTCTAACCATTAACCAGCAAAGAAGCTGGGAACCGGATTGATTGGCAGCTGCATCAGCTGACTGACTATGCCCCTGAGGGAATCCAGGACTGAGGAGCCAAGACAGAGAGACCGAGGCAGCAGGAGCAGCCGGCTGTGAGTAACCACACCCGGGCCCGCCATCCTTTCTGTTCCAGGCAAGACCCTGTATTAAGTCGATGAGAGCAGCCTGCTCTGTTTCAAAGGCAGGCAGGTAGGTAGATGGATGGACAGAAACATGGATAGAAGAACAGTGTGCAAATGTATAGATAGAGATAGATATAGATATAGATATGGGGGAGGGAGTGGGGGTCTCGGCAATCAAGGGAGGATTTCCACAGAGACCTAGATTTTCTCCTGGGAGCCTGCCCCACTGGGGGCTGTCCCCAAAAGCTGTCACCAAGAGCAGTTCCCATTCATTGCCACACCGGAGACTCCTAAGCCCAGCCAAACAGCCACCCTGTTTCAGAACAGAAGTCTGAGCATCCCAGGCCTGGCGCATGCAGTCTCCCTGCTGGCGCTCAGAGGACCCTCAGCAGAGCTGCACACCCCACTGCCCAGCTGCCCCTGTCCAAGGGGATCTGGAGGTCTTACATCCCGTGGCCCCAAACAGCCCATGTCAACCACCTAGGACCTGGCGTGGCCCGTGGGGGTGTTTGTGAACACGCAGGGCAGGGGAGTTTAACTTCTGGAAGGAGAGGAGAGAGCAGGCCTGAACTCAGCTAGTGGCCAGCACTGATGCTCCGCATGCCTGGCCTGCTGGGTCCTTGGCAAGGAGCTGCTTCGGTCAGCATGAAGCAAGACAGGCAGGTGTCCGATGCCAGAGTTCGAGTCTACCCAGTTCTGGATGGCTCACTCCTCACCTCGGGTTCTTCCTCCATAAAATGGGCACAGTGACACATTCAAGGAGGCCACAGGAGCCAAGCATTTATAACAGCTGTGGCTGGCATCCCCAGTAAACGTTGAAGGTGGCAGAGCTTTAAGCCAATTGCCCAAAGGGCCCCACAAGACTCAGGAGAACGGACCCAGAGGACTTCCAAGGAAGCCAACGAGCCACCCACCCTTCTGTTGACAGCCCACCTCTTAACCACTGCAGCATCGGGCTCCCCGGGGAGTTGGCACAGATGGGAAGGAGGAACAGAATCTCTCCAGAGACCATGGGGAGGGGAGGAAGAGAGAGGGAGGAAGGGGAAGGAGCCACCTTTGTGACAGGCCCACCTGGCTCCAGGCTGCTGCTGCCATGCCCTGGCACATGCAGTGTCCCTGCTGGAGCTCAGAGGACCCTCAGCAGAGCTGCACACCCCACTGCCCAGCTGCCCCTGCCCAAGGGGATCTGGAGGTCTTATATCCCGTGGCCCCAAACAGCCCACTGGGGTGTGGCGGTGGTGGCGGCTTGAACCAGAGAGTGTGGGCAGGGCCACAGAGGCAGTTTCTCCCGGACAAGACCTAGGACCCAAAGGACAAGAGGGAGTGAGGTGGGCAAGGCGGAAGGGCACACTTCCACCAGGGCTGGCCCAGCCTGGGAACCACATTGGGTTGGTGGAGCTAGCCTGCCTTTGTCCCCACCTTCTGACCCAGAGCCTGGCCCTGCTTGGGCTCAGCAAACACTGGGATGAAAGTCTGATGTCAGGGGCAGGGGAGCGCGTGCGTGGCGAGGCTGGGGCCAGAGTGGAGGCTGGGGGCATGCTCTCACCAGGGAGGACCCTTTGGACCATGGTACGGGGACTCCCTCTGGGCTGTGGACAGTGAGGAGTCCCTGGAAGCTTTTCACCAGGAGAAAGGCTACTGCCCAGTCTGGCCCCACTGACACCTCAGGCAGCTGCTCTGGGCTGCTGAGGGGAGGCAGGGGTGGGGTGGGGGATGGGGGGTAGAGAGGGGAGGAACAAGGCAGAAGGAGCAGGAGGTAGGGAGGTTGGAGTGGGGGTTCTGCTCAGTCCTGGGAGCCGTACCTTACCCCCACAATGTTCTTTGCACCAGGACAGGAGAGGACAGACAACCAACCCACCCATCCCAAAAAAACCCACTAGACCATAATTTTTGAATGGGCATACCACATACTTACGCATAACGTGCTTTAAAGTGGTCTTGTGCAGTTGATGTAGCCAATCCAATGTGTCACCATCAGGCCCACGCCAACTCGTGGCAACCCCAGCCAGCCCTGACGGAGTAGCAGGACTGCGTCTTGAGCTGTTTAAAAACAACAACAACAACAACAACACACCTGTCCTCATCGCAGAACCAGGTCCCGGGCTCTCCTCCCGCAGCGAGGCTGGGTGGGTTTGAACGGCCAACCTTTACATTCCCAGCTGAGTGTGTTTGCACCCCTCACGGACCCCAGGTGGGAAGTCACACCATTAGATGACGAGCCTGAGGCCCAGAGCTCTGCCCTGCCATGTTTCCTGTCACCGGGGTATTGGGACAGCCGAATGGCACCCCAGCTGGTGCTGTGCCCCCCTCCGCCCGGCTCCACCCCACCAGGTCTGCCTCATACTGGGTGGTCGCCCCCTCTAACCAGCACTCCTGACTTGGCAGGACCTGGCTTTCTGGGGCAATGCTACCCTATGCCTCTCTCCTCTGGCTGTCCACCTGCCTTTGGGGCATTCGGGCTTTGGACCCCGATCCTGACATGAGTCTGAGGGACCCCCGTGGCCTGGCCCTGGCCAATGTTGACTTTGCCTTCAGCCTGTATAAGCACCTGGTGGCCTTGGCCCCGGACAGGAACATCTTCATCTCCCCCATCAGCATCTCCATATCCCTGGTCATGCTGATCCTGGGCGCCGGGGGCTCCACGAGGACCCAGCTTCTCCAGGGCCTGGGCTTCAACCTCACAGAGACGGCCCGGGAGGGTGTGGTCCACAGGGACTTCCAGCACCTCCGAGGCCTGCTGCTGGAGGCGGACACCAGCTTGGAGATGACCACGGGCAACACCTTGTTCCTGGACCGCCATCTGGACGTGCGGGCGTCCTTCTCAGCAGACACCAGGCGCTACTACGCACCGGAGGCCTTGGCCACCATTTCCAGGACTGGGTCCGAGGCAGCAGCCGTCCTAGCAAGTGCGTCAAGAACAAGATGCAGGAGAAGGTTCCGGACCAGTTCCCAGAGCCGGACACCCCAGCCACCTTCACCCTGGTTAATAACATCTCCTTGAAAGGTACCCCTACCCATCCCCTCCATCGGGGTTAGGAGCCCCACTGGCAGGTTCCCAGCTCTGAGGACTATCTCATTTGCTGTGAGTCAGAGAGCCCACGTGATGGCACAGCCCCTTCCCCTCGTCCACCAGGCACCCCCTCTCTCATGTCCATCAGTCACCCTCTGTCACCGAGGGTCTGAGGCTGGCTCTGAACACAGGCCAGACATCCTGAGACATCGGCAGTGGGAGGGAAAGGGGTCTGGAGTTGTTCTCTGGCCGCCTTTACACAGCTGGGAAGTGGGGGCCCCACAAGGACTCACCCCGGACACCTGGGACCTGGGCTTCCTCAGTCAGCACCAGGATGAAAGGGAGGGGACCTTGGCCTGCAGCCGGTGTCCCCAAGTTTAAGAGGGCTTAGGCGTGGGGGGTTCAATGCTAGAGTTCTCCTCCCACACTCCTGTGCACCTCACCCACTGTCCGCCACCAGCTGTCCCTTCGTGGAGGCTTGTGGGTTGCTGTCATGCTGACTGGACTTGAATGGAGCTGACCGACTAAGAGAGACTAGGAAGAAAGGCCTGGTGACTCCTTCCCATGGACCACAAAGGTCCTCTCCTGCTGTGGACCGCACCACCGTGAGTTGGGGCCTGACAACAAGAAGGGTTTGGGGGACTAACCTAGGCCTGGCTCAGCAGGTAGGGAGCCCTGGTGGTATGGTGGTCACGCCTTGGGCTGCTAACCACAAGGCCGGCAGTTTGAAGCCACTGGTGGCTCCGAGGGAGAAAGCTGGGCCTTTGTACCCCTGTGAACATTTACAGCCTCAGAAACTCACGCGGGCAGTTCTACCCTGTCACTGTGAGTTGGCATCGAATCGATGGCAGTGAGTTTGTTTTGGGGGGGGTTGGGACTCAGCAGGTAAGCATTACCAAGGAAGCCTGGTCTCCTCCCCAGAGGTGAACTAGGAGCGGGGATGGGCCTCCACACAGCACAACCCAGTGGGCTGCCTGGCAACATGGAGAATCATGGGGCCTGGGGCTGGTTAGAGGAGGTGACCTTGAAGGGGGTTCTTCTCATCCTGACTGGCCTCACAGGAAATGTGACTTGTACCCAAGGGGCAAGGCTCTGTAGTCAGAAGCCTCCAGGCAGAAGGGAGCAATTGTTCCCAAGTCTGGCTGCCTGTCTGGGTCCCTGAGACCCCCATGCTAAGGGAAGGGATAGAATGGATGGCCCAGCCCCTCAGACCCTCGCAGCACCATGAACGCCCAAACCCAATACTAGGGATCCAGGGCCGGCTCACAGCGCTCCCCCTGGGTCACAGAGCCCCCCTGCTCCGTGGGGTGCCAGGCCTTTCTTCCTAGGTGTCTGTGGGTGAGTCTGAACCACCCATGTCTCCATTGGAGCCCAGCAGCGAGCCGTTGGCACCACCAGGGCTGCCCAAACCACCTTCCGCATCTTCAAACACAGGACCCTGCCCAGTCAGGGGGAGGATGGGCCCCTGTGCCCCCATCCAAGAATCCGAAGGCACTTAAGTCTTCCAAGGTTGGAAGTCGGTCTCCAAAGCCAGCTATCCTCCCGCCCTCCAGCAGGGATGGAAGACAGGCCCACTGGACACCTTTGGGACTCTTGGCTCTTTCCCAGGAAGCACGGCTCTCGAGGGGTAACCTGGGAGGGCTGCAGCCGGGCTTGTCTGAGCCGAGAATCTGCCCTGGGTGCCGGCCCTGCTTTGTGACCCTGTCCCCGTCCCCAGGCACATGGGCGATCCCCTTCGATCCAAAGAGCACCTTGGACGAGGACGTTCAGGTGAGCGAGGCGAGCTTAGTGAAGGTGCCATGATGTCACAGCTGGGAGCCGTCAAGCAGCTGAATGACTCGCTGCTGCCCTGCCAGCTGGTCCAGCTGGATTACACCAACAATGGAACGGCCTTCTGCATCCTTCCCCACCAGGGCCACATGGACAAGGTCATGGCCGCACTCAGCAGGGACACCATTCAGAGGTGGTCCAAGTCCCTGAGCTTGGGGTAAGCCGCGGGCCAGCCAGGCAGTGTCGCAGCAAGTGCACCCCCATTGTTCTAGCAAGCTCCCCCACCTGCTCACCTGTGCTGGGGACAGAGAGGCGTTCTTGGGGTCCTCGAAGTGCTCATACCTGCCTCTGAGGGTGCGTGTGTGCACGGGGGAGCTTATGTTCGGGGATTGGTGTGTAAGAGGTCCAATTGCCCAGCCACGCCTTCCATTTAGCTCACCACCACTCTGTCCCCATCCTCCCAGAAGGGGGCTTGTAACTTAGCTATTAAACCCCAAACCAAACCCACTGCCCCTGAATTGAAGCTGACTATTGGCAGACCTAGAGGACAGGGTAGAACTGCCCCTGTGGGTTTCCGAGACTCCAACTCTTTAAGGGAGTAGAAAGCCTTGTCTTTCCCTGGGGAAGCAGCTGTTGGTTTGGAACTGCTGAGCCTGTGTTTAGCAGCCTGACACATAACCACGATCCACCAGGTGGTGATAATGCACCTTGAGTCCAAACATCACCCTTCATTGGAAAAGGAGCCCGGGTGGCGTAGTGAGTCACTCTCCTTGGGAGGCTAACCATAAAGTCAACACTTCGAAACCACCAGCCACTGCATAGGAGACAGATGAGGCTGTCTGCTCCCGTAAAGATGGACAGCCTCCGAAACCCACAGTTTTTCTGGGTCCTCCGGGGTGACTGCGAGTCAGATGGACCCGGAGGCAGAGTTTGGTTTGAGTTCAAGCGGGCGATGAGGACTCTCTCTTTTTCTTTAAAATCATTTTATTGGGGGCTCATACACCTCTTCCGACAATCCATACATCCAGCCATTGTGTCAGGCACATGTGTACATTGTTGCCATTATCAGACTCACACACAGAAGAATCTCTTCAGCAAAATGCCGCACTTCAGATGGCACTCATCCCTAACACCTGCCATTTGTCCTAAATGGCTACAGAGATAGACATCTGGGGTGAAACGTACATCTAAAACCTGGAAACCCCAATCTGTAGTTGAGTCTGCTCTGACTCACGATGCTGTAGGACACAACAGAACTGCCCCGCTGGGTTGACTGCCACATCCGGGGGCTGTACCTTGGGCTGCGTTCCCTGACTGGGGGTGAGCTCCAGCTCCGTCCCAAAGCCTTCCTCCCTGCGTACTTCCTCACCAAGCCCCTCTGTCCCCAGCAGCACCCTTGCACATCTACACACCCTGACATTCCTCAGGTTCCCGGGAAGCCTGTCCACCCAGGGCACTCTGTCCTCCTGAGCCTGGCAGCGGCCCCTGGGTTCAGTGCAGAGCTGGGGCTTGGTGGCAGCTTGTCCCAATGCCATCTAATTCTGCAGCCCGAGGCCCCTGCTCCCTCCACCCTGCTCTGCCCCAGCTTCCAGTAGGAGGCACTCGGGGAACTTTCTCTGAGGACCATTGACCTAAATGCCCAGCAGTCCTCACTCAGCTGCAGCATCTGAAGGGTGATTTGACCTGCGTGTATCATAGGTGACATCTGCTCAACGGAAGAGCCAGAAGAAAAGTGTTTGCGTTTTGATCCTTAAGTGGTGGACTGACTGCTAACCGCTAGGTCGGCAGTTCAAAACCACCGGGGGCTCTTTGGGAGAAAGATGAGGCTTTCTATAAAGAGTCACAGTCTCAGAAATCCACGGGGTCAGTTCTCCTCTGCCCTACAAGGTCACTATGAGTTGAAATGCGCTCGCGATGGAGTGAGTTTAGCGTTTTGTCCAGTGCTCTCCCTTGCTCCAAAAGGGCAGAGGCCTGGAGGGACCACATGGAAGATGGGGGCGCCCCTCTCTCGGCATCAGCCCCAGTGTGTAGAACCAGCTAACCCACTCACTTGCCTCCAATCAGCCAGGCTCAAGTGTCCATCCCGAAGATCCCCATCTCTGGAACCTATGAGCTCAGGAGCACCCTGGAAGGCATGGGCATCTTGGACCTGTTCACTGAGCGGGCGAACATCTCAGGCATCACTGGAGAGGCCCCACTGAAGGTGTGGAAGGTCAGTGTCAGGAACCCCTTTCCCATTTCCCCAAACCCACAATCTGAAGAACGGCGAGCAACACTGTGCCCGGGGACCCCCAGCCCGGCCGCGGCCAGCTCTCCACTGGATCACAGGGTTAATGGGCTTGGCAAAAATCCATGGCCTCCCCAAGGTCACATGGGAAGCAAGTGACAGGAGAAAGCCCTGTCTTGGGCCCCCTAGCCCTCCAGACCTGGCAGAGGGGTCTTGGAGGAGGATGAAGTAGCAACAGCAGGGCTCTGAAGGCCCAGCCTGGGAAAGCCTCCGGCCACCTTTCTGGCCAGCAACAGCCATGGTCTTCCCCTTGGGTTTGCTGCTGTTAGACATTCACTCATTTGGAGAACAAATGAGCACCGCTGCGTGACTGTCTAATGCCTGTGCCAACAGACACTGCCCTGCCCTCTCAACCTTCCAGTCCTGACAAAGCAAAGAAAGGGGCAGGGGATGATGGTCACCGCTGCTGATCGCCACCCCTAGCGACTCCTGTGGTGCTGGACAAGGAGCCCTGATGCTGTAGTGGGTTAAGCATTGGGCTGCTAACTGCAAGATCAGCAGCTCAAACCCACCAGCTGCTCTGTGGGAGAAAGATGAGGCTGTCTGTCTGCTCCCTTAAAGAGTTACAGTCTCTGGAGCTCACAGGGGGCAGTTCCCTCTGTCCCACAGGGTCACTATCAGTCGGAATGGATTTGAAGGTAGTGGCCTTGACTTTTTTGAGTGGTGCCCTATGGGAGTGAACTGAGTCAATGCCACTGTGGCCTTATGCTGTTGTGACCTATTGAGCTGATTCCTGCTCACAGTCTCCCCATTCGACAGTGCAGACCTGTCCCAGAAAGCTTCGAGTGCAGAGCAAGAGGCCCAGGCACTAGCCCAGGGGGACTGCCAACTCTGAGCCCCGGCTTCCAGCACCGCCCACAGACCTAAAGGTGATGCTGGCTGGCTGAGCACCTGATCAAAGCCTGGCACAGGTCAACCCCTGTCTCTGGTACCCCTCGCACAGGTGGTCCACAAGACTGTGCTACACATGGATGAGGCGGGGGTGGGGTGGGGTGGGGTGGGGTGGGGTAAGACCACCCCCGCTGCAGCTCCTGCAGAAGCCCTAACACCTGCGCCCCCTAGGGACCAGCCTCCCAGCGTCATCAAATTCAACCAGCCCCTCCTCATCTGCATCTTCGACAGTTTCACCTGGAGCACTCTCTTCCTGGGCAAGGTGACAAGCCCAACCTGAGATCACAGCCCTGAACACAGGCACCGTCTGACTGGGAGCCCCAGGGCAAACCTCCCCGCCCCACCCCCAACGCATTCTGGGAAGTGGGAGCGCACCCCCCGTACACGTCTGGTCCTCCGCCATCTAGCCAGGGTTGTTTGTACTGTGAGCATCTTTAATAAACAACTATCCTTGCAACCATCCTGAAGGTGTGTGCGCAGGCGCTGTGCGGGGAGGGATGGCAGGGGAGCGGGAGAGAATCCGGAAGAGGCATTTGGCCAGCAGGGACCCTAGTGGTGCCATGCTTAAGCGCTTGGCTATTAAAGGTCAGTGATTCAAACCCACCAGCCGCCCCACGGGGAGAAAACGGGGCCGTCCACTCTGCAGAGAGGACCGCTTGGAATCCCTGGGGCAGGTCTGCGCTATCCTAGGGGCTCGCTGGGACTGGCCAGACAGAGGCAGGTGCCCTGCTGGTGTGGGTATACCAGGGGGCCCCCATGATGAGAGGGACTGGGTGGGGTTCCCCTGTGCCTGAACCTCGGGCAGCAGCCTCCCTGCAGGGACAACCGGCAGCCCCTGGGCACGGCGGCTTTGGAAGCACCTGGAAATGGCATCTTGGCATGTTCTCCGGCGAGCATGCGCAGCTGTGGTGGGCGGATCATAGGCCACAGGCGCCTCACGTGACGTGACACATCCTTGCGGGAGGAACTGCTGGCTGGGAAGGGTACCTCTGGGCAGGGCATTTTCTGCCGTCCTCTCTCTCCTTCATCACTGCCAGCCAGGGGCTGATCCCCAATCAGGAAGCGCTCCCCACTCCCCATGTCAACCTGAAGTCCTGATGCTTGGCCTTCGCAAAGAAATACTAGGAATTCCAGATTCCTAAGGCCTCCTCTGATCCTGCCTCTCCCCTGCTCCCAAACATTCAATGGCTCCCAGTTGCCAGCCCCAGGCAGACCATGTGCCCCATATTGAGAAGGATCCTCTCCCTTCTAAATCCAGCCTCCCCTTACCCCCGCCCCCAGGCAGGGCCACCTGGGTAGTGCAAAGGGCGCCATCTAGGTGGGCGCCCTGGTTAAGGCAGGAGACTAGGAGATGAAGCCCGGCTTTGGAGCCAGTGGCTCACGTGTCTGCTCTCGGCCTACAGGCTGGGTCGTCGAGCAGGTTAGCGGGCCTCCCTGAGCCTCTGTGCTTCCGAGGAAAAGCCTCTCCCTTCTCCTCCCCCTCAAATCCCGCCAGGGTGGAGCTCTTGGCGGCTCACGGAAAGGTGGGTGGTGTGGGTCTGCCAGCCGGCGACCTGCACCTGGAAAGATGATGCCCTAGGAAATCCCGTGGGGCAGTTCTGTGCCACGTGCCCTCATCGTCAGGGGCCTTCGGAGTCGGGACCACAACGCTGCCTGGTCTTGCACCATCCTCACCCTTGTTACGCTTCAGCCCCTGGTGACAGCCATGGTGCCGAGTCATCTCCCTCCCCAGTGCCTTCCTCTCACTGACCCGTTCTCTATCAAGCTTGACGTTCTTGGCTGAGCATTGGCCCCTCCGGAGAACTTGTCCAAAGCACATGAGATGAAATCTCGCTGTCCTGGCTTCCCAGGGCCCCCCCAGCTGTCGTTTTGCCCAAGAGTCAGCTTGTTGGTTCTCCTGGCAGGACAGTCCAAGGTACTTCCAGTGTCTCCATCAGCACCGTCATCCCTTGTCACTGTCCAGCTTGTGCAGACATATAGGTGTCCCTCAAGCTGGGGAAGGCTGAGCAGGGCAAGCCTGGGCCCGAAACGGGGATGCCAAGGGCCAATGGGAGAGGGGACAGGGGAGCACACTCAGGGATGTCTGGGAAGCCTTTGCTATGGCCCCACCATGCAGGGGAACCCCCTGGCCCTCCCATCTCTCCCACAGTTCCCTTGGATCACGGATCATGTCAAGCACTGCCCCCTAGTTGGGTCCAGGTTCCAGGATGCATTTGCACAAGAAGTCCCTGGATCTCACCTGGGAGGGGGCGCTCAGAAGCAGGGTGCCTCCTGCCGGTACTCTGGAGTAGGGTTCTTGCCTTGCTTGCATAAGACCCAGGTTCGACTCCAAGCTAATGCCTCTCATTCGCAGCCAGCCCCCATCAGATGGTGGGGGCTCATATGGTGCTCTGATGAGGAGCTCCAGCAGAGCTTCCAGACTAAGATGAGACTAGAAAGAAAGTCCTGGTGATCACTTGTGAAATCACAGCAGTTCAACTGTGCTACGCATGGGGGTCCCGTGAGTTAGGGGTCAGCGAGGAGGCTGGGGCCATGGCTGCTGATGTCCAAGGGGCACATAACAAACTATTATAAGAAAGCGAGCTGGCCAGGCTGGTGAGTCCTTGTCTTCTGAGGACGCCAGCCTCCTGGCTTAGGGAACATCATCCAGCAGTAAGTTCACCTTGAAACAGGCGCGTCCTGGAAGCTGCGTGGACAGCAGGGTTGACTCATCTTTGCCTTCCTAGGGCCTGGCACTGCCCCTTCCTCACACCTCCCAGAAGGTGGGGGCTGGACCTGCGAGGCAGGGCCTGAGGGTGCCCAGCAGCTGCTCTGAGGCTGGCCTGACTTCAGATGCAGGGTGAGGGACACCTCTCTTTTGGTCCATGTGGTTTTCCCAGAAACGCCATCCTCTCCGAGCAGGGTGTTAATCAGTAACTCGCACATGGGGAGAGGGCCATACTTTGGAATAGCAAATATTTGCAGAAGGGTTTCAGCTGCAAACCCTCACCTTTGTCTTACAACCCATCCCAGGCACCGAGGACCCGTCAGGTAAGAGGCAGGGGTGCAAGAGGGGTGGGGGTCAAAAGCCTCAGCCCATGGGCAGCGCAGATACCCTGTCCTAGGGTGCGCCCAGAGCCCGGGACAATCAGGAAACCTCCTCTGAGGACAGAGGCAGGGGGCAGAGGGGGGCTGGAGCGCTACAGCTGAGACCTCATCACCTTCCACGCCACAGGTCATACTTCGGCCCTGCCCCATCCCCCATCCCACTCTCTCAAGCCAACCACCTCTTTCCAGGTTTCTTGAGGGCCAGGGGCAAAGGGACATGGTGGGGCCTCTTCTGGACACATACCACCTTACCACCGGGGTGCTAGGCGAGAAGGCATGGGCTTGGTGGCGCCTCAGTCTCTGCGGGAGTGTCCCCTCCATCGGAATCTGGGCAGTCCAGTAATGAACCGTCCCCTTAGGGAGGCCACAGGCAGAGTGTGCCACCAACAGTGTGCAGACCCAGTGGGGAAGGCCCGGGTGCTGCTTTTCAGCCAGAAGAGGAGCCTCAGGAGGGAACGGGGCTGAGACCCGCCTTCAGAAGGAGCGCCATCCATGCATTTGATGTGCTGGTATAATTTCCTGACCACCAACCGTGACAGAGGGAATGCCAACCCACCACTGTCACTGAGTCACCTCCAGCTCAACTATAGGCTCCCGGCTGGGGGCTGGAAATGTTTGCGGGAGGAGATAGCCTCATCTTTGTCCCACGGAGCAGATGGTGGGTTTGAACCGCCCACCTTGGGGTTAGCTGCCCACCTTTGTCGAACTCATTGTGCCACCAGGGATCCTTGTGAAAGGAAACCACCCTGAATTAGGCAGCCATCTGCTGGAGGTGGGCGTCCCCCGGTGGTGCAGAGAATGAATGCTGTTGGTCGTTAACAGAGAGGTTGGAGGTTCAAGCCTATCTCGAGGCCCCTCAGAAGCAAGGCCTGTGCTCCACTCTGAAACGTCAGCCACTGAAACCCTTGGGGCCAGAGTTCTCCTCCAAGGCTCAGAGCATCACCAGGAGTCTAAGTTGTCTGCCTAGCAACTGGCGTGGGTTCAGGAGGAGCCCTGGCAGCATAGTGGGGTACCAGTTGGGCTGCTAGCCTAAAGGCCAGCAGTTCGAAATCACCAGCTGCTCCATGGGCGAGAGAGGAGGCTTTCTGGGGACATGATGATGTACAGTCTTGGAAACCCACTCTGTCCTCAGGGGTTGCTATGACTCGATGGCTGTGAGTTTGTTTTGGAGTTTGGTGTTGGCTCCCTACGGTTATACGACGACGAAGGAAGGCATAAAACGGGGTCACATCTGGCAGAGTGGCAGCGTTTGCCCAGCGTACTGGCGTGACTTACTGAACACGGGGATGCCACACACAACTGGAAAACCAAAACCCAAACCCATCCCTCCAAGTCGATGCCAACCTCTAGGGTTCCAGGTTTGTCAATCTTTACAGGAGCACACAGCCCTTGGCTCTTTCCCTAGGAGCAGCTGGTGGACTCGAACCACTGACCCTCCAGCTAACAGCGCAGCGTTTCACCCCCTGTACCACAAGGGCTCCTTGTAGAATTAGAAAAGATCCCCTACATGCTGATGGTGGGGAGACATGGCAGAGTAGTTCCTGGTGAAGATCATGGTCCTGGCTGTTGGGGTATCAAGTCCTAAGGCCGGGTGTCCTTCTGACCGGGCCCAGGGGAGGACACGCTGCCCGCAGCACAGAGGAAGAGGCCTGGACTTCCCCTGCCCGTTTTCTGCCACGGGCAACCTTGGTTCAGATGGGGGTCTGCCGATAAGGAAGGTGGTGAGGGCTGAGGCTACACTGGGCTGGGGATCTTGTCGCACTGAGGCGCCCTGGTGCCTTGGGCCCAGAAGAGAGCAGGTCAGGGTGAGGGTCTGCCTCAGGGGGCCTGGTCATGTCAGTCGTACACAGCTGGGCACGGAGTGTGGAGACGGCTGAGCCCCCGCTGCTCGTGCGGCCAAGAAACGCATGCTCCGGGGCCAGGCGCCTCTGTCACCGGTCCAGAGTAGAAGTGTGCTGTGCGGGGTTCTCCATGGCTGAGCTTTTGGAATCCGATCACCAGGCCTTTCTTCCGAGGCACCTCTGGGTGGATCCAAACCGCCAACTTTTCCGTTAGTCACCGGACGCGTGAATCATTTGCAATTTCCAGGGACGCCGCAGCCAAGGGAGAAAGGCCTAACAGCAAGCATCTCTGCCCAGGCTGTGGGAGAGGGTTTGGGGAGGGGCAGAGAGGGGAAAGTTTGATCCCAAATCAGGGGACTGCAGCAAGTTCCCTTCTCCTTGCCTTCCCTACCAAGCAAAACCCACACCTCACTGCCAGTGAGCGGATCCTGACTCACAGCAGCCCTGTCGGACAGAGTAGAACCCTCCCCTCTCAAAACCAGACCTAACTCCCTGCCATCGAGTCAAAACTGACTCACAGGAACCCCCTGTGGGTTACCAAGACTAACTGTTTATGGGAATTGAAAGGCCCGTCATTCTCTCTTGGAGCCGCTGGTGGTTTTGACCTGCCAACTATGCAGATCGCAGCCAAACACATAACCACTATGCCACCAGGGTTCCCTAGAACCACCTGTCTTAGGGTTTCAACTGCTGACCTTTCAGCTGGCAGCCAGCAGCTCAGCACATAGACCCAGGGCTTCAGGAGTCCAACTTAGAGCCAACCAAACCACCCTCACTGCCATCCAGTCAATTCTGATGCCTAGCGTGGGTTAAAACTGTCCCTGGGGGTTTCTGAGGATGTAAATCTTTACGGTGCTGAAAAATGCCTCATCTTTCTCCCCCTGAGCGGCTGGTGGTTTCAAACTTCTGATCTCAAGCAAAAACAAACTCACTGCCATCAATTGTCTCAGCAACCTGATAGGAAATCCTGAGGGCTTCAGAGACTATAAATCCTTATGGGAGTAGAAAGCCTCATCTTTCTCTTTCAAAGCAGCTGGCGGCTTCAAACTGCTGACCTAGTAGTGGTTGGCAGCCCAACGTCTAACCCACGACACCACCAGGGCTCCTTGTGAGGCCAATGGAGGCCCTCTAAATTCCCAGCTCAAGGGAATATCCACAGCTCAGCTGGGTGGGTATACCCACCCTCCCAAAGGGCGAGGACAAAGCAGGGTGCTCCACCCTCCCAATGACTCTCTGCTGCCTCTGCTCGGGGCTCTTCACCTGGCCTTCTGCTTGGCCAGGTGCCCGAGTACAGGCCTACCTGGGCAGGACACTTGGGGAAAGAAGGTTGGCATCAACATGAGGGCCCTCTCTGTTTCAGGTTGCCCGGGGCTGTCCCACTCCAGGAAGCCCTTTGGAACCACTGAGCTCTCTTTCTTCTTGTGTCGAGAGGAGTCCCCCAGGGGTGCACAGAGAGCATGAAGGTGATGATAAGCCTGCTGCTCCCGGTCCTCCTAGCCCAGGGGGATCTGGTGCCCAGCTCGACCCTGAGCCCCCCACAGTCAGAGACTGAGGCAGGGCCCAGCACTCCGAAGACCCTGGTTCCCCAGAACCAGCCACCCCAGGAAGAGGAGGAAGAGGAGGCCCGGCTGGTAGCTGGGGGGTTCGAACTTTCTCGGGCGACTTCCAACTTGGGGTTTGATTTACTGCGCAAAATGACTGCCCGGCATGAAGGCAACTTGATGTTCTCACCACTGGGCCTGTCCTTCGCCATGGGGACCCTGATGCTGGGGACCTCGGGGCCCACCCACGCCCAGATCCTGAGCGGGCTGGGCCTGCAGACCCTGAGCAGGACCCAGCCCCTGCCAGAGCTCTTTGGACACCTCCGAAAGACCCTGACCCACACCCGGGAGCTGGGCCTCAGCCAGGGCAGCTGGGCCTTCATCCACAAGGACTTTGATGTCACAGAGACCTTCCGCAATTTGTCCAAGAGGTATTTCGATACCGAATGCGTGCCTGTGAATTTCCGCAATGCCTCGCAGGCCAGAGGGCTCATGAATCACTACATTAGCAAAGAGACCCAGGGCAAAATCCCCAAGCTCTTTGATAAAATTAACCCTGACACCAAATTAATCCTCATGGATTACATCCTGTTCAGAGGTAAGTGATGCTCCTCAGCTCCCCTAAAGCTGGGTCCCCTGGTTTCCAATTCTGGAGATGGGAACGCTCGCTGAATGTGCAATGCTGCGCAACACGACCTGCTGAGCCTGAAGCCCTAGCGCTACAGGCCATGGGTCCTTTAAGTCCTCCAAGGGGCCGCTCCACAGCTCAGAGGCACGTGGGGCCACAGCCCAGGGCATCCAACGCCCAGGTCTCTGTCATCACAGACATTCAGATCTGCAGCCTGAGCCAAGTGACGTACTCTGTCTCCCTAATCTTAATCTAGAAAATAAGGCCACGCCCACTTCCTCCGGTTATGAAGCTTAAATGAGGTCATGTGTCCAGTGCCTCCTTGGTCTTGCCCCTTACCCCAAAGCCATGAGGTCAATTCACCTTATAGGACAGAGTGGAACTCCTTCCTTCTTAGGGTTTCTGAGACCGTACATCTTTACAGGAACAGACAGCCTCGTTTGCCTCTTGTGGAGCGGCTGGTGGGTTTGAACTGCCAGCCTTGTGGTTAGCGCCCCAATGCTTAGTCGACCGTGCCACCAGAACTCCTGCATGGCACCCTGTAGGTACTAAGTATGATAACTTTCTGAAATAGTTGGTCTGCCCTTCACGTTCAATCCCATTCAGAAGATTTGAGCGATCGCCACCACGATCAATTTTGGGACGTTTTCCTCCCCTGCCGTTATTGTTAGCTCCCCATCGACTTTTTAAGACGCTCATCATGTGATTGATCTTCAGAGTGGCCAGCAACAAAAAGGGAGGATGCGCATGCTGCCCAAGAAGGCTGGTTAGCTTGATCAAGGTCACACAGAGAATATATGGCTAGACCAGGTCTCCTGGTGCCCCAGTTGCTAGGCTGACCCCGGGAATGAGGAGACAAAGCCCCACCCCACAATCAGCCAGGCCACACGTGAGTGGACACTGCGTTCCTCCTGCTGGTGGCCTCTGGCGGTTGAGTGGCTATCAGCCAGCAGAGGGTCCTCCCTGAGCACCACCCGGGCAGTGGATGGGGGCGGGTGCCATCAGTCCGGCTACAGGAGGCCAAGCTGCGCGTGTGTGCACGCACGGGACATGGCGGCCAGCGGCGGGTGCATCGGTAGTCGAAACAGAGAAACCAACCTAAACCCAGCTCACTGCCATCCCGTTGCAGCCACGCAGCCCTCGTGGGTACCGCAGCCGGAGGGTGAGCAAACCCTGTTGGGTCCTTGCTCGCGCGTGTGGTTCCAACCGGCCCGCCCGAAGCGTCAGGGTTCCGCGTGCCGACAAGGCCGGTCCCACGGGTGGGGGTGGGGTGTCTAGCAGGCTGCCCACGTCGGGGCAGAGGGCAGATGACCTTAGCGAGCCAGAGGCTTCCCAGGAGGGTGGTTTTGTCCTAAGCGCTTTTCTGGCCCATTCAGGGAAGTGGCAGACGCCATTCAACCCCGCCTTCACGGAAGTGGACACGTTCCACCTGGACAAGTACCGGGCGGTGAAGGTGCCCCTGATGTTCGCCTCGGGCACGTTCGCCTCCAGCTTTGACGTGAACTTGCGCTGCCACGTGCTCAAGCTGCCCTACCGTGGGAACGCCACCATGCTGGTGGTCCTCATGCAGCGCCTGGGGGACTACCTGGCCCTGGAAGACTACCTGACCACGGACCTGGTGGAGGCGTGGCTTCAGAACATGAAAACCAGGTAGGGCTTCCCTGGCCCTGTGCACATGCAGCCTGCCAGGCCCTGCTGTAGCTCACGGCCACTGTGGCACCCCTGCACCATGGGGCTTGGCTCCCAGCTCCCCCAGGCAAGGGGAGGCATTGTCTTGGGGTCTCTCTGTCCCTAATAGACAAGAGCCCTTCCATCCAGTGAGGGGACCAGAAGTCTGTCGCCACACAGAGGGCAGAGAAGTAGATTTCCTGGCAGAAATTTGGGAACCCTGGTGGCGTAGTGGTGACAGGTTGGCTTGCAACCAAGAGTTCCAGTCTCGAAACCCACAGGGGCAGAGTCGCTGTGAGTCGGCATCGACCAGATGGCTGAGAGTTTGGGTTTTTCCAGCAGAGATTGTGGATTCGTTTTCAAAGCACCGTGATGAAAGGCCCGTCGCAATAGAGCGAGCTCCCCACAGTGGGTTGTTTCCGTTTTCTCAGTGCAAATCTGAGTTAGGTTTAGAGATAGCGTAGGGGCTTCTAAAGCCAAACTCACTGCCAGCCGTGGATTCCGACAAGGTCCAGCTGCCTCTTTCGGTTTCCAAGACTGTAACTCTTCACAGGACTAGAAAGCCCTAGGATCGCTGTGGGTCAGAATCAATGTGCTTTGGTTGGTTTGGTTGGGGCTTCTCATCCCAAGGTTGGCAGTTCAAACCCACCAGCCACACTATGGGGGGAGAGGGGGGAAGATGATGCTATCTTCTCCCGTAAGGGTTGACCGTCTTGGAAACCCTCTATAGGGTTGACCCTATATGGCAGTGGGTTTGGCTTGGGCTGTCTAATGAAAGGTTACCTGGTGGTACAGGGGGCTAAGCATTGCCCCGCTGACCGATGGGTCAGTGATTCGACCCCATCAGCTGCTGCCCGGGAGAAATACGAGGCCATCCGCTTCTGTAAAGATTTGCAGCATCAGAAACCTGATGGGGAAGTTACTTACACTCTCCCCACTGGGATTGCGATGGGGCAGAATCGCCTTGCTGGCCGTGGGTTTGGGGTTTGCGGGTGGCCTCTGATGTGGGTAATGGCATTGGGGAAAGGTTTGGAAACTGCGAGAATGGCCTACCCGGACACCGAGCCTCGATGTGCACTGTTGGGGAAAATGGCGTGGAGGTTTGCTAGCTGCCAGGTCCCAGAATTTGTGGATTCCGAGAAGCGTAAAGAGAGAGAGGGCAGCCTGCAGACTGTCAAGGTCCAAGACCTCTTCTCAAATGGCCCGGTACCAGCCTGGGTTGGCCAGTGCAGTCAGAAGGAGGGGAGGCGGGGCTAGCACCACCTCGGAGGCAGGGAAGAAAAGGCTCAGGCTGAGTGTCCTGGCCCACCGCCCGCCCTCCTCACACTGCTCTACTTGCACCACAGAAAAATGGAGGTTTTCTTTCCGAAGTTCAAGCTAGATCAGAAATATGAGATGCACCACCTGCTGAAGCAGATGGGAATCCAGAGAATCTTCTCGCCCTGGGCTGACCTGAGCGAACTCTCTCCAACACCCAGAAATCTGAAAGTATCCGAGGTAAGGTAGTGGGCCAGCAGGGCCCGGGGCGGGGTGAGATGGCCGCAGGGCACAGCGTGGACAATGACTTCCAGGGCAGAACCCGAGCTTTTTAGTGGAGTGTCTTGGCGTGGCTCTTGTGCTGGATGTTTGAAGAATCCCTAGCCTCTTTCCTCGGGCTGCAGCACTGTGTCTGCTCATTGCTCCTCTGCAATGTGGGCTCTTCCCCCACCCTCAGGGAGAAGTGGACTTGGCTCACAGCTTCAGCGTGGGGTGTGCTGAATGCAACTTTACAAGGTCATGAAAGACCTTGTACAAGGCCTTGCAACTTTACAAGGCCATGAAAGAATCCCAATAGCGGACGCCTGGCCCAACTTCCCACCTCTTGTGGAAATCCCTCTAGGATGTGTGTGCTATAGAGGGATACACATACATCCATGAAAGGAATCCTGGTGGAGTAGGGGGTTACATGTTGGGCTCCTAACCTCAAGGTCAGCAGTTTGAAACCATAAGCTGCTCCTCAAGAGAAAGAGGAGGCTTTCTACTCCCAACTCAGAAACCCCCGAGGTGGTTCTACTTTGCCTTATAAGGGCTGCTATGAGTCGGCATCCATTTGATGCTACTTAGTAAATCACACACACACACACACACACACACACACACACACACACACACACACATCAATTTATGGGGCTGCTTTTCAAAGCAGTAGTGAGTTCTCTGTCACTGGAAGCATTAAAAAAAAAAGAAATGGGAAGGCTATGGTATGGGGGTGTGTTGCCTCTTACCTTCCCTAACTCAGTCGGAGGGTCTCGCTGTGTCTCTGAAGCTACTGAGAGCCAGGCGAGGCCCTTCCACTAACGAGTCTCCCAGCTGAAATGCTATTGGTTCAGAAGGGATGCGACTGGCTGTCACTCAGAGCAGCTCTGCCCATTTATGGGAACCGGTCAGCATCCCTGGTCCACACTCACCAACCCCAGTGGGGAGGGCCCCAATCACTTTCACAACCAAGAAGGAGGATCTTTATATTTCTAAATGGCTAATAAGGTCCCTAGTGATTGCGAGTTGGGCTGTGATCCACGAGGTCAGCAGTTCAAATCCTCCAGCTGCTCCAAGGTAGAAAGATGTGGCTTTTACAGTCTCAGCAACTCACGGGGCAGGTCTACCCTGTCCTGCGAGGTCACGATGGGCCAGCATCGACTCAATGGCAGCGAGTTTGGTTTAGTGAGTACAGTTCATCTACCTTCCTTCTTAACTGGGGGATCCAGTTAACATTTTCCTATACAAATCTTGGCTTGTGGCCCTGGTGCCCATCTCTGGCTCCATCTCACAGCACCCTCTCCTCTTGTCTCTAGGAAGGACACTTGCGATTGGATTGAGGGCTCGGCCCCGTAGCTCAGGGTGACCTTATCTCAAGACCCTTCACTGAATTACCTCTGACAGGACCCCTTTCCCAAATAAGGCAGCATTGACAGGTTTCAGGGATTTGGAGTGAATATGCCTTTTGGTGGGGCCACCATTCAGTCCCCTCCAGAGGACAGGACAAAACACAAACCCTGCAGTCCAGCACTGAAGAATACAGACATGTGCTGGTGTCCGGTGCTAACCTCACCATCAGGTTTACAATGGAAACCTGGAAGCCCTCACCCTCTGCCAACTCTCAGAGAGACATCCAAAATCAAACCCACAGCCATGGGACCATTCCGGTACACAGCAAGCCTCTAGGCCAGAGCGGATGGATCTGCCTCAGTGGGTTTCCTCAGCTAGAATTCTTTTCGGAATCAGACAGTGTCACCTTTCTCCCGCAGAGTTCCCCGTGGGCTCAACCGGCTGACCTTGTGATGGACAGCCCAACACATAGCCCGCTTCACCACCAGGGCTCCCTTCCGCTTACTCTAGGGCAGCGGTCCTCAAGCTGTGGGTCGCCCGATTCCTAACAGTAGCAAAATGACAGTGATGAAGTAGCAATGAAAATAATTTTATAGTTGGGAGGTCACCACAACATGAGGAACTGTATTAAAGGGTTGTGGCGTTAGGAAGGTTGAAAACCACTGCTCTAGGGGTCTGACCCCCAGGGGCAGCACACTGAAGCATCCCATGAACCCCTCTTATGACAGACAGGCACAGGCATCGCATCGCGTGAGGTCCTCAGCCTTAAGGGCCTTTCAAACATGGCAGGAAGGAGAGGGGCAGACAGCCGATTTAAGAAAGGCTTCAGGATGGGGGCGGGGGGGCGCTTGTCCCAGCAAGTGCATCAGCGCAATGTCAGAGCTATCCAATGGCAGGAACTGGGACGCTGCCTGCTGTGGGGAGGAAAGGCAGAGTCCTCCAGAGTTCCCATCTCTTTGCAAACCTCCAAGGAGCATGCGCTCTACTCAAGAACCCCTAACACTGAGGCCAACACCTGGGTTTTGATCTGATGCGCCCAGGAGTGGAATGACCCACTAGCCCCGCCCCACCCCCACCCCCCAGTGTGTGCCCCAGATGCACTTCTCATGGAGGTTCCTGGAGGCTCTGCTGAACCTGGACCCCTCAATCCAGGAGCCTGGCCTTGTGGGTGTGTGCACAGGGGAAGCATCAATTGACCCCCAAGGGCTGCTCCTTCCGCTCTCTGCCCCCAGGTTCTGCAGAGAACAGTGGTGGAGGTGGACGAGCAGGGAACAGAGGCTGCGGCAGGGACCCTGACAGAGATCACCGCTTACTCCATGCCCCCCATCATCAAAGTGGACCGGCCCTTTCACTTCCTGATCTACGAGGAAACCACCAGGCTGCTGCTCTTTCTGGGCCGCGTGGTGGATCCGACTCGCCTCTGACCGGGACCTGCAGGTGCCCCTCAGGCTTTAATGACAGTTAGGGTGGCGGGTGGCCCAGGTGCAGAGGGCCCCCCTTGTCCTCTGCTTGTCTGGCCTTTCTTACAGATACAAATGTGTGTGCACATATGTGAGATCCCGTGCCATCGGCCTGGCGCCAGAGCCTGTTTCTGATGCTTTCGCACCTGACTGGAGACCAGCACACCTTGACCTGGATTTGTGGCTCACACACCTGGACTGGAAAAAATGGCAGCTTAGGGCTTTCTTTCAAGATAACGCCTGGGGGAGGGAGGAATGCAGACAGATGCTGCCCTAGTGCCCCACTTCTCTGTGGGCCAGAGCACTGGTCGGTCCTGTCACAGAGCCCTTGCCTGCTGACTGCATTAAAATGGCGACAGCCACTTCTGCTCTCAACCTCTGGCTCTGCGCGGCCCCCACCCTTGGAGACGCTCCTGACTGGGCCACGGAGCCGCTGGTTCAATACCTCCGTGCTCCTGGGGAAGAAACAGGGACCCTGAGGCAGGGCCACATCCACTCTATGACTTGCCGGGACCCAAGGCATATTCACGGAGCCCTTCCAATGCAGAGAATATATTAAAGTTCCAATGCAGAGAATATATTAAA